TCTCTCTATATATAATACGGCGTTGCGCCAACACGAGTGCGAGATAAAGAGAAGTAGCAGCAGCCGTTCAGTCTCTTACTCACTCTTACCACTTTTGGGGTCGTCGGAGCTCGAGATATGAAGGGATTAACGTGCTACTACTCGCAGTCCGGACTCGCCTCTCTCTCCCTCTTTCTCTCTATGCTGTCGTCTTCTTGTATATAATGTAGGTATATGTACGCGCGCGCGCCACAATCACATTCACACGCACTTGCACACGAGCGCATATAGAGTCTGTAGTAGTGGTAGTAGCGACATTGCACCGACGGGGTGGCTGTGCCGGGGGTGCAGCACAGAAGACTCGGGAGGAGGAAACGAGCCGAGGCGCCATATATTTGTGGCAATGCGCTCTCTCTCTCTCTCTCTTCTTTTCTTTCCGCACGTTTCGCGCGCGCGCTTTGTGGACCAACCACTCGACTGGCTGAGAGCTGCTGCTGCTGCTGCTGCCCTAAGGGAAGAGAGCTCGCGGGGAAAAATCACAAAAGCGGCCGCTTCTATAGAGACGCGCGAGCGTGATTATATCGTCGCGCGCTGGCTTTTAACGTATATTGCGATCGAGACGCGGATCCGAGCAGAGAAATATTTTACGATCGATCGAGTACAAATACGGCGTCGGTGCATCGTCGCGCAACTGCCTCCTATCCTGTATAAACGCATGTTTGCGAATGCCAACTTGGTATTAGCATCGGAGTTTATATGGGTCGCGAGTAGCGCATCGTATGCGCGATATATCGGCTACATATACACCTTATGTATAGCGTATAATATAGAGAGAAGGAGAATAGCTAAGTTGGCTGTAGTGCTACATAGGAGTCGAGGAGAGGCGCAACCGAGCGCGGCTAATACCCGTGTATGCTCGTCACGTCGTTTCGCTTGCCGAGCTAGCTGGGCCGCACACACACACACACACACATACGGCGCGCGTTTGAGCGACTCGACTGCGCCGCGATACCGCGATGTGCACGAGGGAATGACGAGCAGAGAGAGAGAGAGAGAGACAAGACTGACTCTGCATGTGCGCGCATGCATACAGTAGCGCACTTCGAGCAGCTAGTTTCGCTGCCACTGATGCTGCTGCTGCTGTACGAATAAATTTTTACCCCTGTCCTCCGTGTGCACACGTTACCTGACAAACTCACTCCTGACTCGAGCCGTGCAGCGACTTTTTTCTCTCTCTCTCTCTCTTTCTCTTCGAATACGTGAATTTTTGCCTACTCGATGAGTGTACATGCTCCCGTCGCTTAACTCGCTCGGCTGTGACTCGTTTTCCAACTATGTATGTGCACGGATAAAATATACATAAAGAGAGAAAATTGTCGCTCTCGCGCGCTCTATAGCTCACTGTGCCACCACCGAGTTGTACTGGCTGCGGCTATACAGCGAGCCAACCAAAAAAAAAGATGCAGCAGCAAGAAAAACCCGGTACCACTGCTGCTGCTGCTGCTGCTGTATGCTGTATACGTGCGTCGCTGTACTGGAACAAAGAAATGCAATTTCGCGTCGCAGTTTCTCGTTCTTCTCTTTTTTTTTCCACTGCCGTACCACCGCCACCGCACACGCATATTTACATCCCAGATCCCAGCGTCAACTCGAATTGTTACCTAAATGTATGCGCACGTACTGCTGTACGGATATATTCAGCGCTGCCGGAGCTCCGCGTCAGTTCGCCGACGTTTTTTCCGCGTTGCCTATCCTACATATCCCGCGCGTACGTGTACGTCGCTCCGAAGCTGCACGCGGAGCGGCTCGACTCACCTGTGCGCGCTCGGATTACTCGCATATTAACGAGCTTCTGAATTGGCGTGGAGTATTTCGGGGGGGAAAAAAACGACGACGCCCGCGTACAGCTGAAATGGCCGAAATCGCTTAATTTAATCAAAATCCGCGCGTAGCCCCAACTGATTTTTATTGCCGCGCTCCACCCTCGCTCGCGATTTCGCCTCGTGCGCTGTGTGTTCGCGTATTATATGGACTTTTGGCGCACGTGAGCCACACGCGTGTACATGTGTACACGTTATATATTGCTCGCACGAAAATGCGAGAAGGAAGAAAAAACGTATTTGCGCGCATTATGTTTGGATAATGGACTGGAACAGCGTCGGCTTGGCTCGAGGGAAAGGAAAAAAAAGGAAGGAATCTAATTAGCGCATTGCTGAGTCGTAAAGTATTGTTTGAAGAGCCATAGGCCGATCGCGTATGTATATAGAGAAAGAGAGAAAACGCGCGCGCGCGCAGCGAGTTTGATTTACTAATATGAGAAATAAGCGCTGGTTATTAATCCGCGCAAGGTCGCGCCGATCAACAGTCCATGCGGGCATAATATAGAGAGATATACGTGCGCGTATATTCGCGAGATAAACGCATTATACGCGCCTATATAATAACGCGTATACACGTATAGATAGCCGAGCCGTGTGTAGAGGGAAAAAAGCCAGTTAGGCAGTAATTTAAGAGAGGCAAGAACAACTGGACAGATCGCGTGCAATTAGCCAAAATTGAGTGTTCAGTAGAGGCGAAGTTATGCAGTCCGCGCGCCGCCCCACGCTCTCCTCTCTCTCTCTCTCTCACTCTCTCTCAGGCACGAGTAATTGAAACCCGCAAGTACACGGTGCTGCGACGCCGGTCCGCTTACGGCCCGAGTATATGCTACATAGCCACCTTTTACCTACCTTACCCACCTTCTATACGTACTTACACGATGTATATAGACGCACATGCAAGCTGCGCACATGTATATAAGAGGGAAAAACTTAGTGGCCGCCACCGCCGCTCGTGCAGTGTGCAGAGATCAATTTAATAACACACTCGTCAAGCCAATGTTTCACTTGCGCCTGCTTCTTGAGCAATTTCAACCTGATTGTGCGCTTGTGGCGTTTACTCGCACATACACGCATACGCACACTTGCAGGCACTCGCTACAACACTATATACAGGCAGTATATTGCACTGCTGCTATGCTACAAGCGGCAAGCATGACTCGGGTATGCGCGGCGCAAAATTCCCGACGAGTCGAGCGAATTAACAAATGTATGTGTGTATGTGTGTGCGCTACACGCACATATATGCGGGCAGAGTGACTTTGCAGTGGGATTTTATATGTTCATAATATGTAAGGGAGTAGAGCAACGCCTGCGTGTGTACGTTATAACGTTCAAGGAGGAGGTTTTTCTCTCCTTCGTGCGACGAGCTAAATAAAAAAAGAGAGAGAAGGATGTATCGAGGCCGACATCGTGCAGAAATGATAATTTGGCATGTGGTGCAGCACAGGCCTGTGTGTATGTGCGTGAACATACACCCGTGTGTACGTTAAAGCTTTGTATTGTGACTTGGATGTACGTATGCGAGAGAAAGAGAGAAAAGTCCACGGGGCTCTCGTTTTCTCCTGCGTGCCGAGGCGTTCGTGCGTTTAATAACCCCACGGTATACACACACACACATGCGTACGTACAATTTCACAATATATACACGCAGACATATTTGCAGTACAGCTGTGTGCGGCTAAAGTCTGTACAGGCTCCCTTTATGTACAATATCTATATATTACAGTGGAGTATTAAAGTTGGAGTCATCCGGGCTTGTTGTGCTTATTTGTTTGGTATGCATCACGCGACACGTTTCGACTCCGAAATCATCGTCGTCGTCGGCGTTGTATACTCGAGAGCGCGCGAGTATATACAAGTAGAGTCGAGCTGGAGTTGCTCGAGTCGTCCTTGTTCGTAATTAAAGAGAGAAATACATAAGCTGCGCGCGTGTGCAACTTAAAATCGTAGTCGACGCGGCGAGAAAATACGAGAAACAAATTGACCGAGCCGCAGTACATATAATTGTAATACTCGTTAAGAGCATGCATCTCTCTTGTCCGTGGCTCGGTGTGCGTGCGAGAGGCCGAGAGCGGCATGAACGACCACTATAGTACGGAGAAATAAAGTAATTTCGGCGGCTCTTTATAGCTAAGTAGATATAACGGCGCAACTAATTGTGCGCGATGGAAGAACGAGAGATCGAGAGCGTGCGTGCATTCGTACTGTACGCCACGCACACCACACACATATGTTAGTGCGCAGCAGCAGTGAAGCACACACACACACATACACGTGGATGGATGAATATACGCCGCAGCGAGTGCACGTACAAGAGAGCATCGCGAGAGAAAAGAGAAGCGAGGAGAATGTGCGAGCGAACTGCGAAAGAGAGAGAGAGAAAGAAAAAAGCATAGAGAAATAAATATGAGCCGGCCGACGCGCACACACCGCGCGATGCGAGTGAGACTTGAGAGACGCGGAGCGGAGCGAGGCAAAAAGAGCGCGAGCGAAGAAGTGCGAGAGAGCGCGAGGTACACCTATTATATGGATGACGGCACGGAGTATACGGACGCGCGCATACACTCGCACACGTATAATATAGACTCGCTGCTGCTGCTGCTGCTGCTATGCCGCACACAGACGCGCGTCGTACACATTGGTTAAGCGGTGGTGGCGGCGGCAGCTGAGACGGCCGAGAGGGGAAAGGGGGGGTCGACCAACGAACCGGGGGGTGCGCGGGGCTGCGTACGGGTCGACGCTGCTGCTGCTGCTTCTTGCCACCGCTGCCAACGCCGCCGGTGGATGCGCGCGCGAATATCGCTCCGTACTCGTACGTGTGTGTCGGTGTCGTTCTCTCTCTCTTTCTCTCAGCCGAGTGCCGCGACTGCCACTCCATATACACACACACACACACACACATACACACTTGTATAGAAATGACGCGCGCCCTCGTCTACGTGTGACTGTGAGCGTGTATACACCACGCCGCGTCTCTTTCTCTCTCTCTCTCTCTCTCTCTCTTTTATACGAGAGCGTCGAGCATGCATTTCGCGCACACACATCTAAAGGGCGAGCGAGCGAGAGAGAGACGGAGCGACTCGAGGTGGGGGACGCGACTTTGCCCCCTCTACCGTTTCGCCAGTCAGTCGTTCCGAAACCATTGCCGAGCGAGGTTCGTAATAGTCTCCGCTTCTGTGCGAATTTACAGCTCCGTGCGGCATAGTACAGCGCATATACACACCTATATACAAAATACATATACTTTCTCTCTCTCTCTCACACACACACGCGTACGCAAACAGCAGCCGAGCATTACACACAGATAGTTGCATCGCGCTCGACGGCCTATTACACAGTGCGTGCACCGATTGTTTTGCTCCTTTTTTCTTTAAAATCATTCGAATTATTCCAAAAGCTCGTGGAAATCGTTGCGCCGCTTTCAAAGCTTTGACATCGCTCTTCGTCGTGCATCGTACGAGCCAACGAACGTCGATAAGGTAGTTCTCTCTTTCGAACCTAGCCTGAAAGTCGCGCGCGAGCTTGCTACCGCAGTTGTGTGTATTGTACTTGAGCTCGTATAGCCAAGCTGTGAGGGGACGATCGTTCGACATTAAACACAAACAAATACAGCTAGTAAAATTGCCTCGTTGACGTCGTTTTGCCGAATGAATCGCTGAGAATCGATCGACAAACAAGTGTGTATACAAGCGGCTTGCAATTGCGGACGAGCAGTGACGGCAGTGTGAAGCCAGAAAGAGCCAGTGAGTGTACGAGCGAGAAAGAGGGAGAGAAAAAAAGGAAAAAAGAGAAAGAAAGCCCGAGGAATAAAGGCAGAGTGGATGGCGTTCCAACGGGGCTGTAGAAAAAAGCAGTCGCTCGTCTGGCTGCGACCACTATTGCGATTCAATACCGACGACGTTTGATAACAACTTCTTTTTCTTCTTCTTCTCTCTCTATATATCTCTGCTTGTATAGCCGTGAGTAAAGTTGCAGCTGCAACAACAACATTTACTACTACTCCTACTACGACTACTACTACTACTACTACTACTGTTACTGCTGCGACAAAAGTGACACGAGTGAGAAAACGAGTTGGATTACCAACCAGCTAGAGAGAAATAGCAACAAAAAAGTGTGTCTGTGAAAACGTTCGAAAAGGCGCATACGAATATTGCATACGTAGGCCTGAGTGTTAAATGTGTTTGAGTGTTTGAAAAATTTCCCGCTTAAATAAATAATCGTGCGCAGAGACTGCAAAAAAAGCAGTTATTCGCGTGCATCAGTGGGTTTATTGTGCATCGACAGAAAAGAGAAAAAAAAACAGTGCGTTATTATAGTTGTGTGCTTCTGCCGCTCGCTGCGAGGATAAAGAAGACAAAAAATCGTTACCTCGCGATTTAAAAAAAGAAGCCAAGAGAAAAAAGAACAAGCTCGCCTTCTGCTATACTTTTGGTTTTGCGTGTGTCGTGTCGCGCGGTATTGTTGTTGACCATCGCTGTGTCGCATCCCTGCGAAACCACCAACAACCATCAGGCGAGCCAGCAGCAATATCTTCGCCGCCGCCGTGTCTTCTGCAGGCGAGTTGGACGGAGACAGAGCGAGAGCGGGAAAAATGTATCCGAGCGCCGGAATCAATGCGGCCGCTGCAGCGGCGGCCGCAGCTGCTAGGCATCCGGTAAGTGGATACTCTCGTGCTGCATATATACCTGTGCAGCACGTACCAGTGCAAACACATATATACCTATACACGTATTATATACCTGTCTTTCTCGCACTGCGTCTGTGCTGCATAGTCGCGCGAGCGCATGACTGTGGTGAAATTTTCAAATGCTTTAATGATACTGTGCGCGGCTCTCTCGAGACTCGAGAGCCGCGTGTCTGCCTCCGCGCTCTATGTACGAGCTGAAACATGCTAATACTTGTGTTATTAATAGTCGTTCGTCGCCTTTTAAATGAACCGCGCCACTTGCTAAGCCGACGACGGCTCCGAAGCTGATCGAAATAATGATTTTCTTGACACATTATTTTCCTATCTCCCACTATCTCTCTCGCTCTCTCCTTATATATGTTTTATGTAAATAATAATATATTCCGCCTTTATATTTGCTATTATTTTCAAGTGGATATACCCACGCATTATCAGTCGCTCAAATGATTTCCCAAACGAAAGCTTATATGCCGGTAATGCTCGCGCGGCGTTTCTCGCAAGTCACTACCATTTAATATTCACTTTGCGCTCACGTATTCACGCGCGCGCCTATCTCTGTATGCACATTTATATATTTATATACACAAACGCATATGCTGTAGTATATATATCGAGCCTGTTGACTTATTAAAGCAAACGGAATATCATAAGCTCTTTTAATGTCAATCTATACTCGAGCAAGCGCGTACGTGCCGATGATTACAAGAGTTAGCGCGAAAAACGTCTTGTCACGTGAAAATTCACAAGCGACAAATAACACTTCGTTATACTGACGCGCCTGCGTAGAAGTACCCATCTAGCTCCGCGTAGCACCTAGATATATTAATTCATACGTGTGTATGTACGTAGTAGAGGGTAAAAAAAATCGACTCTTAAATGTGTTTCGCGGCGTAATTTATGCTGATTAATAGTAGTCAGTCGGCGCGCGGCGAGACTCGTTATTGCCCGGCTTTTTAACTTGATAAACGTGCTTACGTATGAATTAGCCACTGGAGTTTTTAATGGGACCGCGAGACAATAAAATGATGATGTTTTTTGCTCGCTATCGAACGCGAGACTGAATCTTCTAAAGTCGGTCGTCATCGTCGTCGTTGTCGTTGTCTTTATTTGACGGAAATTTTTTCCTTTTTTTTAACGCACACGCGAGTCGATACATCATCGATCATCCGACGAGCATAATAAGAGCAGCGCGAAATCCACAGAAGCCATTTATATGCTTGTTTTTTTTCTCAACCCCTCGATATCGTTCCACACCCTCGACGTAATGAAATGGCTTATATCCATAAAAAAGGAGTTAAAGCCGCCAGCAACTTTCGTCGTTGGCCGTATAACACAATAAAATCTTTATGTCACTCCCTGGCCACCCTCCCTCCTCCTCCTCCTCTTCCTTCTCTCCCGGCTAGTCTAGCGTTCGCAAGCTTGCTCGAGCTATTATATGGCTCAGTTTATAATCCATCTTTAAACGAGGTCCCGCCGGTGGGCGCACGTGTATGTACGTTATATACACGCGAACACATAAACAGGCCGAGTATATAGTAGTAGCGCGCGTGTTTACGCTTTAGGGTTGGGATAGTGCCTGGGCGTAGAAAATGCGCAAGGGAAATACGTCCGGCGATTACCGTGAGCTTTATAGTACGCGCGGGCTTGCATGAGCGCTATTCTGCTGCCTATGTTCCGTAGTGCAGGAGAGCGACACAGAGATGATAGATATTTAACCACGTGCGTTGTAACAGTCGAGCCCGAGGTAAACCGATACACCGATACTATATATATACAAATAATGTTCTGCTCTCTCTCTCTCTCTCTCTCTACGTCCTTGTATATATGATGATGTAGACTAGAAACTGTGCAGGCAGATTTGATGAGCACTGCGCATGCGTCGACTGACACGGCTTTCGGGCTAATGGCACCTATACCTATACATGCTTTGTACCGCGAGACGTTTCTATGTAAGCGTATACGTAATAGGTATATAGATACCTGTGTATGGGTTTAAGTTGCCAACTTGTTAAACGTCGTTGCTGCTGCTGAGAAAGAGAGAGAGAGAGCGTGACAATTACCCATCCAGTGATGTCCGTGCGCGCTTGTTTATCCAGCGTAATTTTCCGTGTGCATTAATGCGCGTTTATTTGTCCAAATTGATTTGTCACTTTTTTGTGCGCGCGTTGCGTGTTATGTCGATTACGGCATTGGCTGGCCTCTTTTTCAACTCGATAAAAAATTCAACGACGACTAGAGAATTCAATTGATAGTAACAAGTATCAAAGTTTATCGTCGCCAGCCTTTTTTTTTCATTATACGCTTTATCGATTCACTCGGATGAGTTTCGTTCGTTCGTTAGTTTGTTTGTTTTGATCCTACGAACCGTTTCGACATTTAATGACTTTTTATCTTTTTTACTCGTTTTGCATAAAAGCGTCAAATGTATTTATGCACGCATGATTTTAAACATTTTTGTTCTTTCTTGCATTCACTTTTTTGTTTTTTTTTTTTTTTTTTTGTTTCCCGAGTGACTCTTCGCATTTCGAACGCATTAAGCGTCATTTATCATTAAAATAGTTATCGTTGGAATGTGTGCAAAAAACACGTAATGGCTTATCGGTTCTCTCGCACTCTCTGTGTAAGTCTGCGCGCACACACAACCAGTAGGTATGTTTTGTTTGAAACACAATTTTTTTAATCGTCATTTACAATGCAAATTTTATGAGATTGAGTTTTCAAATTGACTGCGACGATAAATCTGTTTAGAAATATCATCTATATGACATTAAAACAGCTTTAACGTTGTAAATTATATGCATCGCTGAATGAATATGCGAAGGAAACTTGCCCGTGGTCTTGTCAACCAACTTAAACACTCAAAAATAAATAATTAATCGTGCTTTCATTAATTACATTTCAGGCTTTAGCAAAGAAAATTTTTAAGTTAAAAACGAATGTGTTCTTTTATAAGAAAAAAATTTTCCGAACACTGCGTATTTAAACTGTCAGTAGTTGTAGCCATGAATAACTTAATCTGCAAACATTTTCTTTAAATTTTGTTGCATACTTTACGCGTCACAACATAATCAGCAAAACACAAATCCAAATATTGTACTATTGATTGATGCTTTAAATGTTATCATTTGCAGATAGATAATCAATTTTTTTCTCTCTAAAAAAAAGTAAAATTGCATATTTTCGCTAAGCGCATACGTTACACGCAATGGCTTTCTGACCTATAGCAAAATGATAATCGACTCGTTCTGTTTAATCGCAGGAAATGCGTTTCATCTGCCTCACACGAGTGTGTGTATAAATGTGTAATCCGATGCTCCAGTCCAGATACTCTGTATATTATATTATGCACAACTGTAAGTGTTTCATGTATGTACACAGAGATTATCGGGTGAAATCCGTGCCAATATACATAATACATTTGTAATTCGATATAAAATTTTAATGAAAAATAATCGAAAAGTATTTTGGTGAAATTTCGCGAAGCGAATTTGTTTCCACAAGGCTGCAAGACTTCAAAGGGTAAAATAAAAAGAATTTCAAAAACTAGATTTGATGAACGAGTCGGGTGTAATATTATTCAGGCCGTAGTGTCTAGGTCAAATACTGGCTAAATAACGAAATAAGCACTAATTCCTTATCATCCGCACGGAATAAAAAGAGAAAAAAGAAGAGCCAAACTAGAATAGGGTGTGTGTTTGTGCTATAATATAGTTAGGGTCGAGAGACGTCGCGCGTGCAAGCACTGTATAATCGTTAGATAAAGCAGGAAGATATTGAGGCGATGAATAGGGCACGGATTACCTAGGGTATCTATCTATATACCTTCCACGTATGCCTATGTATATAGAGGCAGTGGTAGATCGCCACGGAATAACGCCCTCCCCACTTCTACCCTCGTTTTTGCGCTTACCGCCTTCGAGTATATTATATAGCTCCCTAGCCCCTTTCAAATTTCTAGCTCGACTGTGCGCTGTGCTGCGTGTGTGTACGCGCGCGCGCGTGTGCGTATAAAAGCATAACGAGCGCGCATGTATGCTAATATCAGTGGGTAAGAGCAATAGAGAGAGAGAGAGAGAGAACAAAGCATCTCTTCAGCACTTATACTAGTTCCGCAGGGAGAGAAAGGACGACGAGAGGGGAGACGTCGTGGTGGATTAGATTCAAAGTTGAGAGAGTCGGATGAATTCGAGATGAAAAGCACTTTGGTTATACACTGGGCTTTGGCCTATTGGTAATTGGTATTTTAACTATTGTTTTAAACGAGGGATGTATATCTTACCGAACCAAGTCCACTGATTGTTTTTTACGTGTTTACAAATTAATCCGATAAGCTGTAATGCTAAAATGTTTATAGACGCGATACGAATCATTTACGGTATTTCCTGCTGTGTAAACGATAATGTACATTTATTAAGATGCAGTATTACAAAAAAAGCACGGAAAATTTAAGCGAAAATCGTTAAAAAGTAGATCAATAACTATACCAGTCCAGCTAATGTACGGATATGCAATGTGCAATGTGCATGTAATACATTACATACACGAAGCCATGCACACATAAGCTCCTGCACACAGCTACACACTCGCGTCTAGATGAACACGAGCGTGTAGTATATGCGCGAAAGTAAACATCGTCAAGCACGTGCACGGGCGCGCAAGTTCTTATTGGCGTTTAGCTACTATATACTCTATAGGCACTGTATATTTTGTGCTTATGTATATTGTGTGTGTGCGTGTGTGCACCGATAAAACCGTGTTTCAAAGCGGGCATGAACAAGCGACGAGTCAATATAGCTGATACACATATTTATGCGTGTGTGTACGTGAGTTTACACGTACGTACATATAGACACGCAGCGGCAGAGTCTATGCATGCAATCAGCCGCTGCCTCGCCTCCTCCCCTCGTATGAAATTACAACTAGTATACTAATGCTTGCATGCGAATGTACATACGCGTAGATCCTAG